CGCAGCATGGCGATTTTACCCCCGCGATCAAATTGCCCATTGTAACACGTAGGCTAGAGCTAGATAAGTAAAATTGACAGGTATATCAAGGAAATATAATTAAGTTTCGAGTGGTATGGTGCTTAGCACCGAATATGGTATAGTTTCAAAATGGCAAAGTTACCCCATATTACAGGGTAACCTCGCCCTGATTTCAGTGGCACCATAAATCAAGCTGACTATTTATGCGTGGCTGATGTGGTTCATACGAAAACATTTGCTTTACCAATCCTGTTCATATGAGCTATACACTTTTTCAAGTACTCGTGTCGCATTTTCTAAATAACATGAAATAGCTGTAAAACATGGCGAAGTTCCCCCATTTTACGGTACTGTACGGCATAATTGCACTTATTGGCATGGTGCGTATGTGAGAAATAGTCACTGAGACATTCGGAGTAAGCTCAACAGTGTACAATTCATCATTGAAAGCTGGGCAAAACACTCTGCTCAGGGATTACCCAACCCAAACAATGGTGAATGGAGTAAGCCCGCAACAGTGTACAATGACCCATCATTGATAGCTGGGTGCCCCCTTCATCACAATAAAATACATGTATAACTTGGTATCAACATAATGGATTCGTTGGGCATCACCGGAATTAGGCATTTAAGCTCAGGCAGTCAGGTCATGTATAATAATTCACTAGATGACTATATCTTCCATCGCATTTTGCAAGTCCCACTAATCGCACTATTGACCTAATACTCCACTTTTTTGCACCATCAGCTGTTATTCGTTCTATCACATTTGTGTACTTGGTATCATTGGGTACAATGATATCGACATGTCCGTAACTGAGTGGCGTAACATTACCTGTTGGCGCCCCCGCCGAAAATTCGCCCCCAGACCCTCCCTAAAATTGAACAAATTAGGTGATCCGGTAATATCTATAAAAAAGTGTGTTTCTAGAGCAAAATGCGCGTATTTGCTAGTACCCCGTTAAGTTTTTCAAAATTGTCCCACACGACGTAACATCAGAAACATTTAAAAGTTTCTCTTTAAAACTGACTTTAAAGAATACTATTGACCAAAACCCAATTCTATTGGGATTTTGGGAAAAGCGTTTGACCAATATAACAGCTTCTTCGATTTATTTTACTTTGACCGGGATTAGCCGGTACGTTATTATCAGACCCTTCTGATTTCTGTACATTTGAAAATCATACCAAGGGGATTAGCTTGCACGGCACCTCGCCAATCAAGTTGTTGCAGAAACCTTTCCGGTGCCACGCACAATCTAATTGCAGCGCGGTGTCATTCTTAAGTCAATTACTAGGGGGTGCACGATAAAAATAAACTTGCTCGGATTTTCAAAATTTTTGTACCATTGTTTTCTAGAGACTGTGAGAATTTTCACAGTACCAAATTTGTCATACCTTTTTGGAATGATCAGTGAGTTTCGCCTAGGTGCCATATTTGATGGTGCGCGGCTTTTGGAGCAAAATTAGGTGTAAAAGTCGCGTAATTTGACCAAATTCGTTGATTTTTGTCGTATTATGTTATCATATCTTCGGTTCCTGAACATGAATCATGCTGAAAATTTGTCAGAACCTTCCAATCATACTTACCCACCGAACCTAATTTAGATGTGAGTAGGGGGTGCACCATAAAAATAAACTTGCTCGGATTTAAAAAATTTTTGTACCATTGTTTTCTAGAGACTGTGAGAAATTTCACAATACCAAATTTAAGTCATACCTTTTTGGAAAGATCAGTGAGTTTTGCCTAGGTGCCATATTTGATGGTGCGCGGCTTTTGGAGCAAAATTAGCTGTAAAAGTCGCGTAATTTGACCAAATTTGACCAAATTCGTTGATTTTTGTCGTATTATTTGGATATATCTTCAGTTCCTTGCATGAGATCCTTCTAAAAAATTGGCGACGACCTTCCAATAGGGCTTTCACAACTGTTCGAAAAATTTGGTGGATATCGGAGTTGATATAGTGATAAAAATGGGGCAAAATACGCTGCTTTTAGCTGTAACATAATGTCTGATGGTTGGATATGCTTTAAACTTTTCGGACACTTTCCTTGTAAGTCTATGAGTAAGCTTACCAATTTTGGTTGCAATCGGAGGTCGGGAAGGATACTTAATATCTATTTGTTTGAAGAAAATTGTGCTGGCCGAAATTAGCGCTAAAAAACCATCCTACAGTCTGCAGTCGGCACGCGCGGCTCACTGTCGATGGCGCACTACCTAATGTGAGAGATTGGCCTTGATTAAGAGGTCTAAAAATGACAAAATAGGTATAAATTCGTCGATAACTCAAATTCTGACCATCGAAATTGCTCAAACTAAATTAGGTTCAGTAAAACATAAGTGTTTGCGTACGCTGACCAAATTTCAACAAAATCGTTATATGGGAAGTATTATAACTTTTTGATTGTTTCCGAAATAATGTGCTGGCCGAAATACGAGCTAAAAAACCATTCAATGGTCAGCGCGCGCGTCTTACGGTCGATGGCGCACTGCCTACAATTACCACCAGAAATAAAATCATGTTTTTCAATTTATAAAGGATCACGCGTTGCAAGGAACGTAGCCATTTATAAAACTGGCTACGTTGCAGCATGCAGGGTACGATAGATTTAGAGTAATTTAGTATGGCTCATGTCTTGCGGGCAATATTGTATGTTTCAAGTGATGAATTAAATTCTTTCCTTCTCTGGGTTGGGTCAGAAGTCTTAATCATGCAGCTCACTGGATTGAGGCAGTAAGGTAGTACGTTTTCGTAAAAAGCAAGGGTGAGATGTGCCGAGAGCGGGAATTGAACCCACGACCTCCCGATTAGCGCTCGGATGCTATACCATTAAGCTATCTCGCCACAAATCCGTCCCAACAATTCACTACTTGTACTACAGATTACATGCCTTATCAGTTGCTGTATTACACACAAGTGTGTAACACACAATTACTGACTCCCGACCAAGGTATGTTGCATATATAACCATTAGGTTCAGTGGGGGTGGATTCTCGGCCACACCCGTATTCCAGGGCAGTTAAATTCTTTCTGTTCGTCCTGTGTCTTTCCCCAACGTCTACGACAACGGACAGTACTGTTGTAAAGTCTTGGAAAGTTCTACGGTTTTAAGTTAAGATACAGTTATTAATAGTAAAGTACCGCTATAACTGTGTCATTCACCCGTAGTTATAGAGCCAGATCAAACGTAAAAATATAGCTTGAATAAATAAAAACTGAACGGCCAGGTAGCGCAGTCGGTTAGAGCACCAGCTTTGCAATCGTGAGGTTGCGAGTTCGAATCCCGCTGTCTGCCTGATCGAGGGGTGAGTGAAAAGCAAAAACCTTCAATGGTTGGTTACCGTAATGGGTGCCATATTCCTAGCATGAAATATTTACCTACTTACTTGCAATTCAGCAATTGTCAGGTCTGCAGAAGCATTAGTATTGGTCGTTGCCTTGCTAGGCTATCCCGAAACTAGAAGCTTGCTTTAATAAATTGAAACATAAGTTCAACAGTAAATTGTCCCAAAGTCTGATGAGTCACCAGCCAACAAAGTAAACGTGTGATCGATTATAACCGCTAGTAATTTATTACGGATAATAAAGAAGCTAAGTGCTCATGTGGACAACCAAACTAAAGCGCAGGTGTTTTAGTAATCTTTTCATCTTTTCTCCGCATTTTCAGAATTATGCAATTATTTTGCGCTCTGCTTTGATTCATTTTGGCGTCTACAATTGAGTTGTGAAAAGGAATTGACATCACTTTTTTCGGATCTTTCTCCTGAGGCTGCTACGGAGAATTAGACCACTGTCATCCGAAACCGGCAGATTTTTATTGTTTTATCACAGTGAAGTGCCACAAGGACTAAAGACGTTAGCTTTAGGCTTAGCCAAGCAACTTTACATCATCAGCAGAAAGTTTAATTTGTTTCTATATAGCTTTTGGAATTTGCCTACTTATCCTTCTTATCTTACTTGGCACTGGATGCACTTTGCTAGGCAACCAAACAAAAACACGTTACATGCCCAGGATGATGATTAATCACTCTACACTCGACTGTCACGTGACTTTTTCAACCCGTTCTCTAGCTGGTCCTGAACGATTATCCGAAACCCCAACCCTCTCATCTGATCCCAACCCTAACCCAATCCTTAACAAAAGCATATGCTGAAACCCTACTAGTTACCATAGTTACACTACTAGTTACCATAGTTACACTGAAACCCTAACGAGAAATTAGACTAACTTCCTTATACGGTCATCACGTGACCGAGACAGGTTTTCGCCAATATCTCGTCAGGGAAGCATTTTAACCCTATGTCATGGGGGTGATTCGTAATCAGCGTCCGGAAATACATCGATTGAAGTCTGGGGGCTTTTTAGAACAATCTCGAAGATCGACTGTAGCACGCTCGACATGCCGAATTTCAAAGTAATCGGGTTATTCGAATTTGGAAGTATGCTAATTACACGTTTGGAATGAAGTGCAAGTGACACATATGAATTATGCTCAATGCTTTAGTAAACAACGCATAGACTATTATGGCGTAAACGGCAAATTTGTATCCAAACTGACATCAATCAGTTAGTGTCAAAGCATACGATTAACCAATGCAAATGGGTAGATCCAAGTACGGCGAATATAAGTATAACAGTAACGTGATAAGAAGACATGGCAAAAAGGATCTCTTTGAATGCTGTAGTAATTCTTGCTGTAGTAATTCTTAACCAGTTTACTCAACTTGGTCCAGTTTTCGATAGATTGTTAGTTTAATTCTAAGATAAAATATTTGTTGCCCATTATTAAAAGCCTATGACCAACCATAAACTGATGAATCTTTGATAATGCCTGATTATCTAATAATTGTCTGATAATCATCTGATAATTATCGGATAATTAACTAATAATATAATATCTTTTCCCCGCATTTAAATTAATACTGTACCAATAGTATAATGTGGTTATTTTGTCACTATAATTTTAACACAATAAGGAAGTTATGTTAGTCAAGATGCAGATGACGATGATGATGACCCTGGCAATGTTAGCTGGCATTGCTTTGGCTGACGGAGAGATCTTGTGTAAGTTTAAGTTCATATTATATAATTTATTGAAAGACGTTTCTTTGATGTATTTTATAAATACATTTATTTTGTTCGCTTTTGAAATTCGTATGGAAAATTTTTAGTGCTTCTGTATCAGTGTAATTTAATGATGACGTAATAATGATAAAGAAATTATTTAAAAAAAAAGGAATCGGGAATTTGACGGACTTTTACATTCTGTTTGAACAATATCGATCAAACGACTTCAAACCGCGATTAATTTGGGACACTGTTTTTTCCAAATCATCAGGTCTGTCAGAAGTTTTACAATACATTTACTGTAGTCTTTAAAAAACAACTATTATAATATTGTTCCTCGCCAGCGGAAGAGATAGGGGAAAACTTACTGCTAAACCTGTCGTGTGATGATGGAGAATACCTAAATATAGAGAGCGCAAGATACTGGGCACCTCATTCATTCATGGGGCTCTGCACTGACCAACATGATGCTTTTGAAAAAACTAGCAATCACTGCAATCTTAAGGTTTGAAGACATTGAAGAAAATGTGTAATGAGACATAAAACATTAAAACTAATGAGATTATAGACAATTTAATTAGGACTGGACGTGTGAAAAGTTTTGATTTTAAATTCTTCACGAATCAACATTCTTCTAAATTTCTAACTCCCAAAACGGTAAACCGTTTCGTCATCCTCACGACCTGCTGCTCTCACAGGGATCATGTTCGATAAACACGAGCCCGGGTAGTTTCTTTGGTGATCCATGCTGGGGTGCGTGGAAGAAACTGGCAGTATCGTACATTTGCCAGACATGTGACGAGGGAGAACTGTTTGTTGAGAGGGTAGGATGTCAAGGTTAGTGATAATTAGTAAGGAAATAAGAGCAGCGCCTTACGAAATAAAGTTTTTGTGTAAAAAGAAAAGTTTATAAACTGATGTATTGAGATTGACGTTCTGATAATATGGGCAATTGAATCAATGAACCTTACGACTTTTGGGGCCACTTAATTTTTACAAATCTTTTCAGAAGTTCCTGCAGTTATTCAGGTACTACCTCAGGTACTACCTCAGGTACTACCTCCAGTCCAGCCTTACAGAAATGACAATCGATGTGGTCCGAAGTTCCCCCTCGGAGATGGCTCTGCCAGTCAGTGTAACCCTGGAAGGTGCTGTTCTAGGCAAGGACGGTGCACAAACAAAACAAAACAGTGCAAAGTCAAGGGCCGAAGTGAGTATTAACACGAAAGGCAGAAAATATTTCTTAGTTGATTGAATGTTAAGTAGTTATAGTGGAACACTGACACTTTTCAATCAACTTTCAATCAACCGATGCGAAGACCTATGTACGCTAATTAGCTATAAATTTGATTGGTTTTAAAAAGTGACTCCTCTGGTCCGTTATAGTTAGTTATACTTATACACGTCTTTATTAACATCCCTTCACCTCAGAATAGAATTTGAGAACATATCGTCGTCCAGAAAAACAGCAGATGGGTGGAAACGAATTTGAAGCATGATTTGGACAATTTCTCGTCGGAGAGCAATAAGATTTGGATATTTGTAAAGAGGTCAACCATATTTGTTTGATATATGACAGTGCAATTCTGGGTTTCATTATTCAATTATACTAGAAGCTTATTTGTAGTTATTCGCTGTCATCTGTTAGAAAATATGCATGTCATCCCATTAATAGTAACCAAATATATACAATGCATTAAAAAAATTTACAAAAAAATTTCGTTTTGTGTATTTTTATTACTATTAATAATAATATCATAATTTCGAGAAACTTGTTTTATTTCTGTTCCATTTTACAATTCACGTTCACGTTAAATAAAAGCTCGACAGAAAAAATGTGTTTTGTTGCCAAAGTTCTTAAAATCCCAAATTTTCGGATCAAGCTCGAGAGACTAGTTTGATCACCTAAAACTATAAAAGCATGGGCCTTACGGGTATTTTCTGTTGCGTATTTTTGACCGTACAATGAATTGAAAATATTCATGAGATGTTAAAACTGATATTACCCGGGTAAAAAATTTAACTATGTTATCGAAATTTGGTTTGATCTATCATCATGCAAATCTAAAGCCAAAAATTGATGAAAAGGCGAATGCAGGCAAAGTGAGGAAATATTAGAGGTTAAAATGCAAATGTAAACACGATTATCTAATAGTAATATAATAACTATTAGCTAATTTGACAAAAACCCATAATCATGGGTAGAGTGGACCGCTGCCAGTGTCTCTCTTTCCCAAACAAAAGTAAATGATATTAATTTGAATGACCGTCTGCAATGCAAAATGATACCGATAATGAAATCGGTCGCTCGCTTTTCCATTCATTTACAATTGCAATTGTATTAGATTAACCTAGAATAACTATCCGAAGGCAGCTGTACTCGGGTAGTTAAAACCCTGATTTGTTTTGTGAAACTTGGTTTCGAGACCAACAAACTAAGACCGGTGACCGAACTTTTTAGGGGGTCCCGGACCCCAACCGCCAAACAGTGCCCACGGGGCAGCCACGCCCATATTTAGTTCAAATTAGGCCCAATTTATCCAAATACCCTGATTATGCCCAAACCCCAGATTTTAGGTGCTCTACTTGTAGCTAGTGGTCCTTGAACTCGTATATGAATTTTCATCAAGATTGGACAAATAAATGACTGAGTTATGAGCCAAAAACCATATGCCCATATTTGGGCATACGTACCAAATTGAATAAATTTTAGCCCATAAATTAGTCAAATGTCAATATTTTTGAATGAAACCAACTTTATATGGAAGGTAAGCATATACTACACATTCTCTATGATTATCAGCTCAGTATCTACCTAACTGTGGAGTGTGGATTCGGTATTCAAATAATCGCAAAAAATGAACTATAAATCGCCCATATCTCAGTTCGCGATATTTGCAAAACTGATTTCGCTCAAAACAATAGAACTCAGTAGGGTTTCAATATTTTTACATGAAATTTTCAAAATCAACGTAGAATTGCATTTAAACCTTAAGTTTTTGGACAGAATTTTGAGATAGGCCTTCAAAAAAATTTGGCGGCCAAATTCTGAAAAATGCCCGGAAAATTTCAGAAGTTGAACCCCCCCCCCCCCTTAATTAACGGGTGATACTCTTAAAATATTTGTTTCAAATAGACGACGAGTCCAACTCGACGAGTCCAAATTGGCGTGCGTCTTGGCATGTTATAAACCTACAACGTTCGCCAAAATCTAGCATTTTCAGACCACCCCACTAGTACTACACCCTTTCCTTGTCCGGGTTTTTCCCAATTTAAAAAAACCCACATACGGGGGAACGATTCTTAGTCTGGATTTGTATGGAATTTGACCTGTATTTCAGCTAATTAAAGTTGTGCATTGTTCCTGGAGGTCGAAACTTTGTTTTTCTGATGGCTTGGGATAGGTACTAGTTATTCAACCACCAAATTATTTGCTACTTATCCGGGAACATAAATCGCATACGGGGGTAAAGATTCTCAGTCTGGATTTGTATGGGATTTGACCTGTATTTCAGCTAATTTGTAATTAAAGTTGTGCATTGTTCCTGGAGGTCGAAACTTTGTTTTTCTGATGGTTTGGGACAGGTACTACTTATTTAACCACTGAAACATGTGCCATACCTACCCCGGAACACAAATCGCATACGTGGGTAAAGATTCTCAGTGTTTATTTGACCTGAATATCAGCTATTTGACCTGGATTTCAGATAATTAAAGTTGCGCATTGTTCCTGGGCGTGGCTTGAATGGGCCAAACTTGGTTTTTCTGATGGCTTGGGATAGGTACTAGTTATTCAACCACCAAATTATTTGCTACTTATCCGGGAACATAAATCGCATACGGGGGTAAAGATTCTCAGTCTGGATTTGTATGGAATTTTCAGATATTTTGGGTTAGGCGTGGCCCTTGGAAGTGGCCTGAGTGGGTTGAGAGGTCGAAACTTAGTTTTTCTGATGGTTTTGGACAGGTACTACTTAATACTCATTTAACCTCCGGAACACATGCCACCTACCCGGGAACACAAATCACCTACAGGGCCGAGTAAAGATTTATGACTTGAATTACATACATTCGAGACGAAAATATAGAAATGCCTGATGGTACCACTATCCTTGAACCAAAGAATGTTAGATATCTTGGAGTATGGTTTGATAAAAATTTAAAATTAACGCACCACATAGACATACTCGTATGTAAGATAAGTCGAATAGTCGGTATACTATGGAAAAGTCAGCATCTCACACTAGATTTATAACGGACTTATGAGGCACATCTTAATTATGGCATAGTCACGTGGGCCTCGGGGTTTGCAACTAACATTATTAGTACTAACATCCTAGATCACGTATAAATAAAGTTATCCGTGCAATATTTAGAAAACCAAACTATAACAAAAAGTCTAGAACGCACACGCGGGTAACTCCCCTCTATAAGGAATTGAATTTACTAAAAGTAAGTGATTTATACTACTATAACTTAGCTATACTAGGACATAACTTTTTCCACAGTAACAAACCTCCGGTTACTTACAAATTCCGAACATTTTGAATTTAAATATTCAGTACCCTTCACTTGCCACATATATGATTAATTATTCTCATAATTCACCATATTATTATTACAAAATGAATTTAATTCTGCATCTAAGAAAAAAAGGGCAAATCTAAGTGAAAACAGGGCAAATGAAATATAGTACTATAGTAGTGATACAATATGTATTATGTGAGACTGAGAGTAAATTGCAATTGTATAATTGATAAATTTGATAAATTTGAATTTGAATTTGAATTTTCTTGGGTGGGTGCGACCCTTGGTCCTTGGATGTTGTTCCAATTTGGGTTTCAGGTGCTATTTAGTTATTCATATCTTCTTCTTCGTAGGGGGCTGTGGTCATTATCACTAATAGAACGATCGTGACCACTGTAAGATGTTATTTATATCATAGTCTCCATAAATACGAGCAGTTTTATAGTGAGACTTCTGAAAGCTTATTTTTGTAAATTCTACAAATATAAATATTGTAACGTACGTGTGGCGGGAAAAATGCATACAAAATCGCATACACAATTCAAGGAAACGTCTTCTGTCATGGATCAAATTGGATCATCACGTAAGGTGATCTGAGCTATAACTCTATAAGGTACCTATCTTAGTTAACACATTGCACAATATTATACTATTATATAGTATTACTAAGTACTAAGTAGACAAATAATAGGCTATCGTCGCGTGGTGTCCCAGGTAACTCGTACTCCGTTTCATAGATCTAGATTGTAGAATGTTACCTGGGTACCCCAGGCCATTTTGTTCATTAACATAGAGATTCGGCGGAATGACAGGCTGAGCGCCGCCCGCGCCCAGTAAATTTTTAACAGTAAATGATAATTGAATTTAAACTCGGAAAATTGGTTAAGATAAGGACTATACCTTTCATAGGAGCAAATTATTATATTACATTGTTCATGAACTAATTTCAATTTGTGCTGCACGAGTGCACGGTGTAAAATTAAAAGAAAGGACTTTTAATTTTATCAAATTTAATTAAGCGTACTCCATTTTACCGATTTATAAAAATTTCACATGAAATAAACGAACTTAAATCACGATTCTAAATTGCGTGTGCAACAGCAATACACATATTACGCGCTGACCTGAATTCTCAGACCCACAATTTTGGGCATGATCAATATTTTGAAGTAAAGACTAAAGTCAAAGAGCTAGAGCATCTAATGGAAAAATTTAGGATCATGTCATGAGTTATGTCATATTTTGTGTCAAATCATAAATCATCATGGGACATGAGCCGATCAAATTGTTAATATAAACATGTGTATCGCGGTCATTTTAAGCCCAAGTTTAAGTCTCTAAGACCTTAAAAGAAGCTGAAATACAAATTTCCCATGTACGTGCTTAATATGAAATTTGGGCGTGGCCCCAGTTGGGACTAGCGACACAACATGCGCCGTTCGGTGATTTGAGTTATCAATATCAATGACATATTTAACCCCATTCAGCAGGAAAAAAAAACTTTATAAATTGAAGTGCACACTCAACTCTTCCCTCATCCCTGCTACTGAAGTATTTGGGCTATTTCTAAAATTAATGACTGATGACTTTAATAAATTGTTTGACCTTATACAACTGTTTCTTTTTTAGCGTGTTTAATCAGACTACTACTCAGTACTAGCTCTGTTCACTCGCGAATGTCGGGATTTTTCTAAACCATGGTGCTTACCTGACGAATTATCAGCGATAAATTATTTTTATCACATGAAATGGCCATATAAGAAAGTAGGCAAGTGATTGGGTTAACGAGTGACCGATTTCATTCTCGGTATAATTTTGCATTTGCGGACGGTTATTCAAATTAATATCATTCCCTTTTGTTTGGGAAAGAGAGGCATTGGCAGCAGCGCCCCACTCTACCCATGATTATGGGTTTTGCTTTGGTCAAATTTACATATATTAAGATTAACGATTCGACATTTGTGCATTTTTTTACAGTGAGCAAGAAAAGCAGTCGTTAAGCAGTAAAAATGTTTATATAATCAAGTCCTATGATAGAAATCGAAATTGGACATTAAAAATACTAATAATCCTAGGAATCGGTGTTCCAGGTAATGGAAATATTTACTTCCAGGAATTTGGAGCAAGAGCGCTGGTAAATATTTGAGTGGCTACAGCGCAGGAACCGCCAAATACGACAGTCTTCTGAACTCTGAAGGCTCAGAGCGAATGTCTCAAACGATCTGGTCAGTTCAAACTTGCAGTTAATTTGATGATAAATTAGAAAATTAATTGGTTATCTTGCGAAATTTAATTCACAAAAAATATACAGAATCTCTGGTAAAATATATCAATTCACCCTAAATAGTAAATACCACTTTCTTCCACTAGACTGTGGAGGTATCACATACGAGACCATATCATATCCGAAAAGATCACTCTGCGAAGAGGACTAGGAGTCAACCTCACGGACAGTCCCTGGGGTGAAATCTCCTGGATGCCTATCTCAAGCGATGATGAAGGTAACAAACTATTTTTAGCGCTAGATAGCGCTAGCTATAGATAGGAAACGCTAGTGAGCACTAGTTCAAGTTAGCCGGTAAGCGCTAACCATCACGTTTAAACTATATGAAATGTATAAGTTGGTTTACTTTCTTACCATCGTTTGCGTTCTGAGCATGAGTCTGAATCATACAAAATATGTTGATTTTCATTGATAGAGCTGACCATACTGTTGTATTCTTGTTCTGTAGTTAGTGGCTTCTCGTAAGTGAATTTGAAATTGTCAATTTCTAACGTTTCAAATTATTTGGTGGATGGCTTGCAAGACCAAGCGGATCAAGTTTGTCATCGTGAACATTGACGGGCACGTGCGAATTTAAAATATCTTCGGTAATATTTATACTTATCATTGAATCAAGAGTCGCCTCATCAATTTGTTCACATTTTTTCATGTTCAATTTTATAACGTCGTATTTTGCAACAAACGACTCCTCAACTGTAGTATTATTCCTCAATATTTGTGCGTATTTTCTGCTACGCAAGTGAGTCAGGGACCGGCCATGCTCACTTCACTTGGCGTATTTTTGACCGTACATTGAATTGAAAGTATTTATGAGATGGTTAAACTGAATTTACCCGGGTAAAATTTTTAACTACGTTATCGAAATTTGGTTTGATCAAGCTAAAGCCAAAAATTGATGAATAAGTGAATGCAGGCAAAGTGAGGAATTTTTAGAGGTTAAAATGCAAATGTGAACACGATTATCTAATGTAATAAGCTAATTTGACTAAAACCCATAATATGGGTAGTATAGAGTCTAGAGTGGACCGCTGCCAGTGTCTCTCTCTCCCAAACAAAAAGAAATGCGGTATTAATTTGAATGACCGTCTGCAAATGCAAAATGATACCGAGAATGAAATCGGTCGCTCGCTTTCTCATTCATTTACAATTGCAATTGTAATAGATTAAGCTAGAAGAACAACTAACTACCACCCTTACCCCGAAATACTAGGTATCGACCCGAACGCAACCCAAAAAGATTTTTACAGCATGTGATTGATGTAATTAATCGAAACTTTTTTTACAATTTGTAAACCGTGAATGAATGGGAAAAGCGAGCGACCGATTTCATTCTTGGTATCATTTTGCATTTGCAGACGGTCAATCAAATTGACATCATTTCCTTTTGTTTGGGAAAGAGAGACCCTGACAGCGGTCCACTCTATACCCATGATTATGGGTTTTGGTCAAATACCCAATCGATTTCTCAGGACAAACAATTAAAATCGAATGTCGTAACGCGATTTATTTGATTTCATTTTAAATTGTTGGCATAGAGTTTTATTATTATTAATCAACTATATACAGCAAACACAAGATAATATAAATTAAATCATAAAATCGAGTGGCCGAGTAGTC